ACGAAAACTGCGACTGCCACTGGACAAATGCTTACCTGAGATCGATGCAAGACTGGTAGACGGCACGCCGCTAGCAATACGGGAACGCGTATACCGGGTTCGGATTCGATGCGGGGGTAACTTCACATTTAGCCAGGAAATGCTCGCAACGACCCTCGGCGACCGCACGACCACAGGATAGAGTTAGAACCGGGGGCACAACCAACAGTACAGCGACAGTTCCGACTGACCCAGCCCGAACTGGACGAACTGAGGAAGCAGCTCGATTACCTGCTCGAGAAGGAGTTCATTCGCCCTAGTTCGTCGCCCTTCGCAGCACCGATACTGTTCACACTGAAAAAAGACGGGGGATTTCGCATGTGCATAGATTACAGATCACTGAACAGGGTTACCATCAAATCCCGTTACCCCATCCCACGAGCCGACGAACTGATCGACCAACTGCGCACAGCCCGGGTTTTCTCGAAAATCGATCTCCGCGGGGGTTACCACCAGATTCGCGTCAATCCGCCCGACTGCCCTAAGACCGCATTCCGAACACGCTACGGATCCTTCGAATACACCGTCATGCCTTTCGGACTGACCAACGCCCCCGCCACTTTTCAAATGACCATGAATGAGGCTTTCCGCCCGCTCTTAGATAAGTGCGTCATAGTATACCTGGGCGACATACTGATTTACAGCCCTGACAGAGCACAGCACTTACAGGACATCGAAGTTGTTTTTAAAATACTGAGTGAGAACCGCCTACTGACAAAAGCGTCTAAGTGTGAATTTTTACAGAACCGCCTGGAGTTTTTGGGACACGTTATTTCAGCTGCAGGAGTGGAAATAGACCCGAAGAAAATTGCGACGATTCAAGCGTGGCACGCGCCGACCAACTTGACCGAGTTGCAGAGTTTTTTGGGGTTCGTCAACTACGTGCCCCGGTTCGTCCCCGACATGGCGAAGCTGACTGCCCCGTTGACCGACCTGCTGAGGAAGGGGGTTGAGTACACGTGGGGGGAGAAAGAGCAAGCTGCCTTCTCGGCCCTCAAAAACATTTTGTGCTCACCGCCCGTGCTTCACATCGCAGATCCACACCGTCCGTTCGAGCTCGTCACTGACGCAAGTGACATCGCTGTGGGAGCAGTACTGTTGCAGGATTTCGGGGACGGCCTCCAGCCAATCGCGTACGAGTCCCGCAAGCTGCACCCGCCCGAACGCAACTACCCGATACACGACCGCGAAATGTTGGCGATCGTGCACGCGTTCAAAGTCTGGCGGTGTTACCTGACTGGCGCCGACGTGACAGTACGGACAGACCACCGATCACTACAGTACCTACGCGCCCAACCAAATCTCAATCCGCGACAGATTCGCTGGTTGGACTACGTCGAGTCCAACTTCCACTACACGGTTACGTATAAAAAAGGCGCCTCCAACATCGCCGACGCACTCACCCGCCCCACCGCCCAACTCCACGTCATCCTACTCGCCCAAACCAACCCGCTTTTAACAGGCCTATTCACCCACGGATACCGCACCGAACCATTTTACACGACTGGAAACTCACAGCAACTGGCAGAAGCTAAAGGAGTTTATTACGTAAAAACAGGCACCAACCGCATCTGGGTACCCGCGTACGCACTACTGAGGGAGCTGCTACTGCAGGAGGCACATGACGGAATTACCTCGGGACATTTTGGGGTAGAAAAAATGCGACAGCAACTGCAGCGGTACTACTACTGGCCGGAGCTGTTGACCGACGTACAGCAACACGTGGGCTCGTGCCCCACGTGTCAGGTGATGAAGAGCTCAATGAAGCGGAAGGCGGGTCAATTGCAGCCGATACCACCGCCCGAGCGCGCCTGGCAGCAGGTTACCATGGACTTCGTCACAGGGTTACCTTCGAACCCTGGGGGTAACGACGCGGTGATGGTCGTCGTTGACAGGCTGACGAAGATGGCACACTTCGCTGCGTGCAAAAAGTCGATCTCAGCCGAGGAGACCGCTCGCCTGTTCATCGCAGCCGTTGTTCGCCTGCACGGGATACCAGCAGCGATTATCAGCGACAGGGACACGAAATTTACCAGCAACTTCTGGAAAAACCTCTGGGAGCAGTTCTGGACCAGGCTACAGTTCAGTTCGTCGTACCACCCCGAGACCGGCGGCCAAACGGAGCGGACGAATCAGACGATGGAGCAGTTGATTCGTGCCACGTGCGACGACCCCACGACTTGGGAACAGCAGCTGCCGCTGATCGAGTTCGCGTACAACAATGCCACGTCAGCGACGACGCAGCAGTCACTCTTCTACCTGAACTACGAGCAAAACCCTACAGTGCCCATGACGCCGAGTCCGGACAACCCGACACCACGTGCGCAACAATTCGCTGAAATTCTGCAAGCTGCCCGCACCAGAGCCGCGGAAGCAATTAAAAAAGCAAACGTCATCGCTAAGCGCAACGCTGACCGCCACCGCCGCCCCGTCACATACCAGTCAGGGGATTACGTACTCCTCGACACACAAAATCTGCGACTGCCCGACGTACCGAAACTTCGACCGCGCTACTGTGCCCAATTCCAAATCAGCCACATGATCACGCCAGTAACCGCGCACCTACTGTTACCGACCGACTGATATATCAGCCCTTCGTTCCACGTCAGCTTGCTTCGCCCATACATCCCAACCACAAGCCAACTGCCTCGCCACCGCCCGCCATCCATGACTCGCCCTGCATCGGAGCCGATCATCGAGCCCGAAAAAATCCTGAGCCATCGGATTCGACACCCCACGGGAATCAGAAGGATTGAATTCCTCGTTCGCTGGAAGGACCGCACGCCAACTGAAGATAGCTGGGTGCCCCTGGCCAACATTGAAAACCACCCTGCCCTGCAAGTGTACCTGAGGAGCCGGGGATTCCGCGATATACACGCACTCGCGTAGCGGAGGGGGCTTCTTGAGGGGGGGGGTAGCAGGCCCTCAGATTCACTTTATGGGACGTTGATGCATCAGGGTCCCTGTGAACAAAACCCTGATTTTCAGTGTTCCTAAAAAAAAAAACCCTGAATTTTCAGGGTTCCTAAAAAACAAAGCCTGAACTTTCAAGCAAATGAAAACCTTGCATACAAGGGTAGGCTTTACGAAACATGACAGAGGAGGGATTCGAACCTAGCCCTTACCCGTCGTTAGAAAATCACTAACCACTGAGACAGTTGATCTTCTAAAACGTTAATCTCTTACATTTTCGTACGTGAAAAACAAGAAAATGTTGGTCGACAGGAAGGATTCGGAATGTGCATTCAGTGTACACTTCGATAAAAGACTGAAAAATCAGTGTCAACTATGAAATAAAGGCTGAAAGATCAGTGTCACAAAATTCTCAACACTGAAAAATCAGTGTAGGTACAAAAAAAACCCTGAAAATCAGGAATTTCAGGGAAAAATTCCTGATATCGTAGGGCCTGGGGGGTAGTGTAAGGAATTTTATCGGCATTCCTTACGGAGCCCGACTACATCGCGTACGGCAACAACCGTTGTTCGCCCGTTACTGCTAACGGGACTTCGCCAACCTCGCGCGCACTGTTTTGCCAAACCTCGCAATGCTGGCCCGGCCGTGTCGGCCTACGCTTCGGGACTAGCCCGAGCCTCGCTGCCAGCATAGCACTAGCTAGCTCGCACGCACCGCGTTACCGTTTGCATGTTTCGCATATAAATGTTCGCTCATGCCTTCGCTCACATCTTTGTACTCGTTTGACACCTTAGTGCAATTCTCGCTACCTCGATTCATTGCACCCGTAACAGAGAGAAATATATTCTAGAAGTCATTATCATATCAGAAGCCATGAAGGGTTGAAGATTGGCATTGGCTTGGCACTCTAACAAAACCCTTCACCCACAGAATTGGCAGAGAAAAACATGTGAAGGATACAAAACAGAAGTGGTGAAGGAGACCATTGTTATTCTTCCCATCACCTAACCAAACCCCTCTGCTTTCATTTACCTTAGTCTTTCTAATCTACCTGCCCCTTCAGCAACCCCCTGAAATTTCATTCACTCCTACACCAGGTAGGGAACTTTTGAGATGGCTCAATGGCAACACAACCGGAACATTCATACAAGCAGAACAAGTCCCCTTGACCCTCTACCATATTCCAATTCGCACACATGGTAGTTTTGGTTCGGATTTAGCTGGATGCACACTACAGGACACTAAACAAGCATTTGCTTTCAATCTCATCCCCTCCCCACACCCCACACCTTCCTCACCAACAGCTTCTATTTGGACAAGTCACCTCATTACACCAGGCACGGAAAAACACGCTGTCTGAGGGAGGGATCTCCTGGTCAGCTAAAATAGTTTTGCTGGAAACTACACCACGATTAATGCTCCCAGCTCCTCCACCCTATACGGCATTATGTATAAAACTAACCCTTCCCCATCTCTCCCACTCCCTCTTGAGTCCTGTCCTGACCACCGTTCTGGCAGCTGTGGATGGGGATGGGAGGGAAGCTCCTTAAGGCTCCTCCCCTCCACCCCCCCTGCTTTCCCGTTCTTAAAACGGCTTACTCCAGACTATCTACCCTCATTCCTAGTGTTTTGATTTCCAGAGAAGCCACAGCTTGCTGCTGCTACAGTTGCCCATGCCATGCCAGCGCCCTGAATCGCACGGGCGCGCTTCAACACACATGCCGAAACACACAGGAATCCAGCAGAAACCAGCTAATTGCACAGTTGAAACTCACACTACCGACACCAACACCATTCAGACTAAACACCAGCGCGACTAGTATGACCTCCCACTAGCAGCCTGCATTGGGGTTGGCCACTCTGGTAACAAGGTAACACCTCACTTGCCTTGCCTTGCCTCCCTCCCCTCCCCCTGCCTGCTAGCACGAACACTTGTGGAGCTTCACAGAAGCAAAGAGCCCGCAATATCTGCTTCTCTCAAACAACCACGCAGTAGCAGCTGCTGCCTTTTGTACCACCCCCTGCACTTCACAGCACCCACTGCACTTCACAGCACAGCACCCACCACTCCTGCCCTCCCACCACTCCTGCCCTCCCACCACTCCTGCCCTTCCCACCTGAACCACCATGAGGCTGAAGGCACCTGAGACACCTGAACCACCCTGAGGCACCTGAAGCTACCTGAGGCACCTGAAGCTACCTGAGGCACCTGAAGCTACCTGAGGCACCTGAAGCTTCTGAGGCACCTGAAGCTACCTGAGGCACCTGAAGCTATCTGAGGCACCTGAAGCTACCTGAGGCACCTGAACCTACCTGAGGCACCTGAAGCTACCTGAGGCCAGCACTCAAAGAGTCTGTGCCAGCAGCACCTGAAGCACCCTCAGCTGCTGCTACGGCTTCTGATGTCGACCCTCCGCCAGTTCCACCCTCCCCCCGCCTGCTGCTGCTGCCTCCCCCTCGGCTGTCCTCCACTGGAGCTTCCCTAGACCCCACAGTTGCCACCGCCTCAGATACCCCCTCTGCTGTTCGCGTGCACCCCCCTCCTCCCCCTCCTCCTCCTGCTCCTCCCGCTCCTCCCGCTCCGCCTGCGCCTGCTCCTGCGGGTGATTTTTCTCGTTTTCCCAGCTCCCCTGCGCCTGCTGCCCCCACCACCCCTGCTTCTCCTTGCTTCTTCTTGCTTGCCCTCCCTCCTCCTCTGCTTTGGTTTCCTTCACCCCGACTCCCACCCACTCCTCCCTCCACCACACCACCAGAACCACCATCAGCAGCCAGATTAGCACCAGCAGCACCAGCACCCGCAGCACCAGCACCTGAGAAAGCACCAACAGCATCAGCAAACCCATCACTGTCACTCCCACCGCTCCCACTAACACCGTCAACACCAGCAGCACCAGCACCATCAGCAGAACCCCCACCACCTGCAACACCAGCAGCAGCACCAGAAGCGCCACTACCCCCACTGCCATCCCCACCAGCAGCAACACGCATACTCCTAGGCTCAATCACACCCGCAGCACCAGACGCAGTAGCAACACCAGCAGCACCAGCACCAGCAACACCAGCAGCAGCAGCAGCAGCAGCAACACCACCACCAGCAGCAGCAGCAGCAGCACCAGCAGCACCAGCAGCACCAGGCGTAGAGTGCTCGTGGCAGTGGCGGCGCCAAAGAGAGCGATACATGGTTTCCAAGTCTCGGGTGAAAGCAGGGCCGTCACAGAGGCGCGATGCGAGCATGCGCGGACGCATGGAGGCTCGAAGCGATGCCAGCTGCGGGATGTCCGAGGCTAGCTGCGTTGCTATGGCCACGTACTCGTCCTCGTTCCGAGCCACCAGATTCGGCAGGCCTGGAGTAGGTGGGGAGGTGCGGGGGTGGGTTTGAGGAAGGGAGATGAGGGGTTGGGTGGGTAGGTAACGATCAGCTGGCTTCTGCTGCATACTCGTCCTCTTTCCGAGCCACCAGAATCGGCAGGCCTTGAGGAAGGCGGGATGGGGAAGACTTTTAAGACGTTTCAAAGGGGGGAAGGGGAGCCGGGGAGAGCGAAAGGGTGGGCGAAGTGGAGGTGGTAACACTCTGTGTTTATCCAAAGAATGGCAGGGGAAGCGGCAGGGGGCGTGGCAAGGGGAGGAGGAGGAGAAGGAAGAGCGCTGCTTCTGTACCTGTCTTGCCCCGACCAAATCCACTTATTGGTTTTTGAGAACGGTTTTTGAGAATGGTTTTTGAGAAATCCAAAAAAACCAGGAGGAGGAGAAGGAAGAGCGCCTGTGCTTGTACCTGTCTCGCCCCGACCAAATCCACTCACCCATGTTTGTCAGCGGCGAGATGCCGGCGTTACTGCACGCTGCCGGTGACACAGGGCACACCCATGTAGAGCGACTCACACCACACCACATGCCGATTCAACCGCTCTCAACACTTCCGGATTCGCACTCTACCAGCCATGGTGACACACGGCACACCCATGAAGAGCGACCTGACCCCCGTGTCTATCCACCGTAGACAACCTAACCGCACTCAACCCCTCATACATATTCCCAACCAACAAATACACACTCACCCATGCTTGTGAACAATGACATGCCAGCGCGCAGCGCATGTACTCGGCCAATCATAGCGCCAAACGGCATTTGAGTCGACTCAAAAGTCACCTCGCAGCGCATGTACTCAGCCAATCATAGTGCCAAACGGCATTTGAGTCGACTCAAAAGTCACCTCGCAGCGCATGTACTCGGCCGGCCATAGTGACAAACGGCATGCTCGCATGTCCACTCAACCGCACTCAACCTATCCGCACTCAACCCCCCCCATGATCCCAACCAGCAGACACTCGCTCACCCATGTTTATGTGCGTTACTATGGCCGGCCGGCCATAGTAACGCATGGTACACCCATAAACAGCGATTCGCATGTAGTCGTTGTTCCCGCATAGGGGAACGAGTCGAGCAACCAGCAAATACTCACTCACCCATGTTTGTAAGCAGCGACACACCAACGTTGTTGGCGTGCACTCTCCTGGCCATGGTAACGCACGAAACGCCCATGAACAGCGATTCGCAGGTGGTGGTGGTGCCAGCATAGGGGAACGAATCGGCAAGGGAAAGTTGCTTGACTCACCCATATTCGTGAGAAGTGACACGCCTACGTTGTTCGCGTGCACTCTCCCCGCCATGGTAACACACGGCACGCCCATGAAGAGACATTCGCACGTGGTGGTGGTGCCGGCATAGGGGAACTAGTGGGCAGGGGGGAGAGGACTGACTCACCCATGTTTGTAAGCAGCGACACGCCAACGTTATTGGCATGTACTCTCCCGGCCATGGTAACGCACGGTACACCCATGAAGAGAGACTCGCATGTGGTGGTGGTGCCGGCATAGGGGAACGAGTCGAGGCTGATATCCATCACGGCGTAGCTCTGCATGTGCTCGTGATTCAGCAGCACGAGCGGCAGCAAGTCGACGCGCAGAGGGGAGATGCCGTGGGACTCGAGCTGAGCCATGAGCTGCTGGCTGATGGACGCGCATGTGAATGGCTTGCACTTGAGCATCAGGCGGGAACCAGGGACTGCTAGGAGGATTCGGGCCCACAGACGCACCACTGCTGGGGTGATCTGTGGGAGCGGGAGAGGAGGGGTGGGCCGGGAAGGAAGGAGAGGGGGGAGGGAGGGAGTGAGAAAAGGAGAGTGAGAAGGGACGGCGGAACCAACACCAGCAGCACCAGTAGCAGCAGCAGCAGCAGCAGCGCCAGCGGCAGCACGAGCCGCAGCAGGTGGACGCGCAGAGGGGAGATGCCGTGGGACTCAAGCTGAGCCATGAGCTGCTGGCTGATGGACTGCTGGGAGAATGCGTGCGTGCCCATAGACGGACGACTACTGGTGTGATCTGTGATTGTAAGGATGGGGGGGATGCGCGGATGGGGGGAATGGGGGCAATGGCATGTGAAGGGCTTGCACTTGAGCATGAGGCGCGACCCGGGGACTGCGAGGAGGATTCGCGCCCATAGACAGACCACTGCTGGGGTGACCTGTGGGAGTGAGAAGGAGCGAGGAGGGAGGGAGTGAGAAAACGGGAGTGAGAAAACGGGAGTGAGAAGCGACAGCAACAGCAACAGCAGCAGGAGCAGCAGCAGCAGCAAGAGCGGCAGCAGGTGGACTGGGAGGGGGGAGACGCGGTGGACTGGGAGGGGGGAGACGCGGTGGGACTCGAGGTGGGACATGAGCTGCTAACTGATGCACGCGAGCTGGGGACTGCCAGGAGGATTCGCGCCCATAGACGGACGCCCGCTGGGGTGATCTGTGGGAGTGGGAGAGGAAGGCAGGTTGTGGGAGGAGCGGGTGGAAGGAGGGGGTGCGCGAGAAAAGGAGGGTGAGGAGAGTCGCTGTTGTCGTTGGTGGCGGAAGCAGTAGCAGCAGCAGCACGAGCGGTGACAGGTTCGCCCACAACAGTGCGAACACCACAGACACACACACACACACACAGCACGACACTGCACTGCACACCACTGCACACCACTGCACTGTAGTGCACTGCACCGCACCGCACTGCACTGCCCTGCCCTGCACTGCACCGCACTGCACTGCCCTGCACTGCACCGCTGCACTTCGTTGTACCTTGGCAAGGTTGTTGAAGCTGCCAAACGTCACAAAGCCATTGGCCACCGCAGGCGAGGGGGACACCGGCCCTGCTTCAGATGATGGGGTGTAGCAGAGGAAGCATCCTGGAAGGCGCACCAACTCCTCTACATGCCTGTGAGTGGAAAAGGGGAGGAGGGGGAGAGGAGGGGAGAGGGGGAGAGGGGGAGAGGAGGGGAAAAGGGGAGAAGGGGGGAGAGGGGGAGAGGGGGAGAGAGAGGGGAGAGGGGGAGAGGGGGAGAGGGGGGGAGAGGGGGAGAGGGGGAGAGGGGGAGAGAGAGGGGAGAGGGGGAGAGGGGGAGAGGGGGAGAGGGGGAGAGGGGGGAGATGGGGAGAGGGGGGAGGGATGTAGGGAAAGAAGAAAACGGGGAGAGGTAAGGGAGGGCCATAGGGGTGATGAGAATGTGAGGCAAAGGAAGCATCTCAAAAGGGGCAACAACTCCTGCACGGTCTGTGGGCAACAAACGAAGGCTGGCGAGGGGTGGGAGGGGTGCCTTGGTCTTGGGGGTGAATGCCCATCCAGGCTTCCCGAGCCAGGGAAGCCTTTGTTGTATGATGCTGGAATGGGGGAAGCGGGGGGTTGGTTCCTTTCCTACCGCTGGGTGCTGGAGGGGGGAGGAATCCGCAAGGGAATCAGTGAATGGGAAGCGGTAGCCAACGGCTCTCAGCCTGGTGGTGTTGGTTGGGGTGGGATAACCAATCCGATCCACGTGGCCTGGATGGGGAGAGCGGATTCCAATCCAATCCGGAGCGGATTCCTACCTCTGGGTGCTGCTGGGAGAGGGAAGTGGACCCAACCCAAGACCCCTACCTCTGGGTGCTGCTGGGGGGATTAGCCAATGCATCAGTCGGCCGGTAGTCAATCGATCTTAGCTTCGTGGTGTTGGGATACCCGACTGATCCATGTGGCCTGGATGGGTGCTGAGCGGGAGAGTGCGGGTCTTAATACCTCTGGGAGCTGCTACGAGGGTCGGCGAGGCCGTCAGTCAGCCGGTAGTCAATAGCCCGCAGCCCGGTGGTGGTGTTGGGATATCCGACTGATCCACGTGGCCTGGATGGTGCTAGTAGGGAGAAGAAGGACTCTACCTCTGGCTGCTGCTGGGGGGATCAGCCAAGGCGTCAGTCAGCCGGTAGTCAATCGCTCGCAGCCCCGTCGTATTCGGATACCCAATCCACGTGGCCTGGATGGGCGCTGCCTTGAATGCCATCACGCCCAGCCGGTTGTTGGCCGTGTGCCCTGTCAGCTCCACGAGAATGTCCACGCCGTCCTCCCGCACCATGGCTGCCACGCGCCGCTCGTCCACCCCGAATATGTCCCGCCACACCCCGCCCTTGCTCTGCACTGCTTCCTTGAACCGACTCGTCTTGCCGTCCGCCTGACAGGAAGGAAGGGAAGGGGAGGAGAAGGGAAGCGGAGGAGGCGGGGGGGAGGGGAAGGAGGCGGGGGGGAGGGGAAGGAGGTGGGGGGGAGGGGAAGGAGGTGGGGGGGAGGGGAAGGAGGCGGGGGGGAGGGGAAGGAGGCGGGGGGGAGGGGAAGGAGGTGGGGGGGAGGGGAAGGAGGTGGGGAGGAGGGGAAGGAAGCAGAGAAGAAAGGGCAGGGAGGCGTGTGAGTGAGGCGGTGTGTGCCCCTGTGAGCTCCACGAGAATACCTACTCCATCTTCCCGCACCATGGCTGCCACCCGCCGCTCGTCCACCCCGAATATGCCCCGCCACACGCCACTTTGACCACATTCGGGTCGTGGTAAGTCAAGGGCGCCTCAATGAAGTAGGAGACGGAGTGGGTGAAGTAGTCGGGCGATATGTACCCCACCACCAGCCTGCGATCCCGTTCATCCCATTAAGCCCAGCCCACTGACTCGCGTTGACTCACTCACCTTCACCACAGCAGAGTAAACCACCACTTTGACCACATTCGGGTCATGGTAAGTCAAGGGGGCTTCAATGAAGTAGGAGACGGAGTGCGTGAAGTAGTCAGGCGATATGTACCCCACCACCAACCTCCGGTCCGGCCGGCACGAGTTGGGCCACGAGGAGAAGCGCGGGAAGAGGCGCGAGAAGCGCTCGCCCCAGTCCCTGGAATAAGTCACAGGAGGGGTGAAGAGGAAGGAGAGGGACAAGTTTCAGGTTCAAAGGAGAACAGAGCTCGCCGGGCACGAGTTGGGCCACGAGGAGAATCGGGGAAAGAGGCGTGAGAAGCGCTCGCCCCAGTCCCTGGGATGACGGTGCTTTTGCGACGTCTCAAAAACACCCTCCCTACACGTGAGAAGTGCTCGCCCCAGTCCCAGGGATGATGGCGGTTGGGGAGGAGGTGGGGGGAGGAAAGGGATGGGCTCGACTCGAGGTGGGGGAAAGTAAGGGTTTGGGTGGGGCATGACAGAGGTGTGAAGAGAGAACAGTGGGTGGGGGAAGACGCGGAGGGTGGGGGGGAAGGAAGGAGGATGGGAGGAAGGTAGGATGGCATCACATACATAGAAAATGGTGAAGAGAGCACGAAGCCATGAGCAATCCGTTTCCCCCTCCCTCCTCTCCCCTCCCTCCTCTCCCCGTCCCTCCTCTCCCCCTTCCTCCCTCCCTCCCTCCATCGACCTCTCGACTGTCAACCTCTCAACCGCTAACAACCGCTCCTTACCGGTGAGCAGCGAACAGTGAGTCGTCCAGCCCATCGTGAATATAGTTCATTGCTAGTAGACGGTTCTGATGTAGAAGGGGGAGGGGGAGCAAAAGGAAAAGGGTAGGGGGGAGAGGGGGAGCAAAAGGAAAAGGGTAAGTGGGGTGAGGGGGGAACGAATGGCGACAACAGCAACACAGGGGAGGAAACAGTGAGTCATCCAGCCCATCGTGAATATAGTTCATTGCCAGTAGACACTTCTGGTGAGGGAAAGAAAGAGGGGGGGAGGGGAGAGGGAGGAGTGGGGACAGCAGCAACTAAGGGAAGCAGAAGAAATCTGGATAAGGGTGAAGGGTACAAACGGCAGCAGCAACAAAGATAAGGGCTCCAGAAACGGCAGGCAGTGCAGCACTGCTAAGCGAGCAGAAGGCCTGGCACACCTAAGTTGGTAACTGTGAGTTTTTTCCACAGAATTCGAAAATATATCTCACCTGGCCGGCACTTCCAGAGTCGGGATCAATGGCTAGGCACTGCTGGTACGCCTCTATGGCTGCAGCAACAAAGGAGGAGCACGGAACCACCTTCTTCTGGGCAGCACAGCACAGCCGAGTAAGCAGGGACATGGCCCGTAAGACATTGACACTCACCTGCCCGGCATTTCTAGAGTCGGGATCGATGGCAAGGCACTGCTGGTACGCCTCTATGGCTGCTGGGATGTTGCCCGCGTCCCTGTGCAACACACCTGCGTGGATAGCAGGGGACGACCACAACACAAACAACACACATGACTGACTCACGAGAAAATACCGTGTGACATTATACCGAGTTGACTTTTGAGTCGACTCAAAAATGCAACACACCTGCGTGGATAGCAAAGGAGGGGACGACCACAATACAAACAACATACATAACTGACTCACGAGAAATCCCCTAAATTTGTCTCTAGAAAAACATTTACATTTCTTGTTGGGTAGTATGACAGGAAATTCGCCTCTAAAATTGACTCACAGGGCTCCGAGCAGGATACTTTTAAGGTGCCTCTGCACTGAACGCTCCCCACATGCGCCCGACGCCTGTTACCCGCCTAAACTAACCCCGCACACACCCCCTCGGCCCCCCTTCCTCTCAAACCCTCCCTCTTTCCCTCTCAACCCCTCACCCAGGTTGTTGTATGCCTCTGCATATGCGGGGTTGGCGAGAATGGCGGCTTGAATCATGTTGAGTGCTAGGTCCATCTTGCCCTGCGATTGGGGGTGGGTGATGTGTTGTGGGGGTGGGGGGGGAGGAAGGGGGAGTGGTGGGAAGATTGGGAATCATCAGCGGCTTGAATCATGTTGAGTGCTAGGTCCATCTTGCGCTGCGAGGGGGTGTGGGTGGTGTGTTGTGGGTGGGAATGGGGGTGGAGGAAGGGGGAGTGTGGGTGAGAGTGGGAACCATTGCACCTTGAATCATGTTGAGCGCCTTTTGAGGCGCCTCAAAAGTGGGTGAGAGTGGGAACCATTGCACCTTGAATCATGTTGAGCGCTAGGTCCATCTTGCCCTGAAAGGGAGGGAGGGGGGAGGCGGGAAGGGGGGATGGGGTGTGGGGGAGGTTCGAAAACATAACGGCTTGAATCATGTTGAGTGCTAGATCCATCTTACCCTGGGTGCAAAGGGGGGAGGAGAGGGAGGTGTGGATGGGGGAGGTTGGGAGCCATAACGGCTTGAATAATGTTGAGTGCTAGATCCATCTTGGTCAAGGTGAGGAGGGATGGGTGGGAGAGGTTAAAGTGAGGCGGATTGAATGATGCTCAGCGGCTGGTCTAATTTGTGCTGAGGAGGAAAGTGGAGGAGAGAGGAAGAGGGAAGATGGGAAAGAAGGAGTTGTCTCGAGGTCGAGAGGGAGAGGTGGGAAGGTGTGAAAAGCGAGGTTTCAGAAACGGGGATACACCAACCCCGTGAGTTGATAAGATTGAAGGAGAGGGAGAGGTGGGAAGGTGTGAAAAGCATGGAACTAAGGGGGGGGGGGCTTGAATCATGTTCAGAAAGTGGAGGGATGGGAGAGGTGTGCATGGGGGCACCCACGGCACGGCACGGCACGGCACGGCACGCACAGGACAATACGGCACACAATCCCATCCTACTTGCTGCTGATGGCTGCAGCAGGTGCTGCTGTTGCTGCTAACGACCAATCACAAGCCACGCACCACCACACAAGCCACCCACCAGCACTCTCACCTGCACGGTGTAGACAACCCCCAGGTTGTTGAGCCCGCCTTGTCTAGGTCGCTTGCTGCCACCATGCACCTCACTCCTTGTTCTCCCGCCCTTGCTCGTGCTGCCACTGCTGCCACTGCTTCTGCTGCTTCTGCTGCTGCTGCTAACAACCACACACCTTCACACCCACCCACCTGCACGGTGTAGACAACCCCCAGGTTGTTGAGCGACTAGGAGAAGCTGGGCTTGATGCGCAGCGCCTTCTGATAGCACTCCACCGCCTTGTCTAGGTCGCTTGCTGCCGCCATGCACCTCACTCCTTGTTCTCCCGCCCTTGCTCGTGCTGCCACTGCTGCCACTGCTTCTGCTGCTTCTGCTGCTGCTGCTAACAACCACACACCCACCCACCCACCCACCCACCCACCTGCACGGTGTAAACAACCCCCAGGTTGTTGAGCGACTGGGAGAAGGAGGGTTTGATGCGCAGCGCCTTCTGGTAGCACTCCACCGCCTTGTCTAGATTATCACGGTCCTTGTATATCACCCCCAGGTTGTTGCACGCCTCGGCGCATTGCGGATTAAAGTGTAGGGCCAACTCGTACATCACCACTGCCTGGAATCGGGTGGAGTGGGGAGTGGGGAGTGGGGAGTGGGGAGTGGGTATGCACAGAGGTTGAGCCTTCTGGTAGCACTCCACTCCATGGCCTTGTCCAGGTTGTCTCTGTCCTTGTATATCACCCCCAGGTTGTTGCACACTTCGGCGCACTGTGGGTTGAAATGCAGCGCTAACTCGTACATCACCACTGCCTGGAGTGGGAGAGGCATTGGAAAGCACAGAGGGGAGGAACCAAGGGAAGAGCAGGAGGGAGAGGTTCGGATGGTATGAGCAGCGCCTCCTGGTAGCATACCACCGCCTTATCCAGGTTGTCTCTGTCCTTGTATATCACCCCCAGAATGAACGTGTAGGGCTAGCTCGTACATCACCACTGCCTGGAGTGGAGGAGCAGAGGAGCAAAGGCGGGGAAGGGGGGGGGGGGGTGTGGTGGATGATGGGGAGTATGTGTATGTCACGATCCTTGTGGATCACCCCCAGGCTGTTGAGACTTCCACGCACTGGGGGTTGAAGTGCAGGGCTAGCTCGTACATCACCACTGCCTGGAATAGGGCAGGTGGCGGACAGGGCAAAGGAGGGAGCCAGGGGGAAAGGGGTGTGTACGTACGTGGTAAATGGGTTGTCTCTCAGGTTGAGTTGATCCTCGGGAGCCACTCTGAGTCATTGTAGACGACTATCAAGATGTTGCATGCCTCTGTGCACTGTGGATTGAATTGCACAGCTAAAGAGGACTAAAGTGTGTGTGTGTGTTCACGTCTCACTCACAACATCGAACTTCAGCATCTCACCATAAGCCAAGCCCAGGGTGTACATGCGCTGTGTGTGCACATATGCATACATATTCATGTATTCTCACTCACCATGTCAAACTTGAGCATCTCCCCGTAAGCCACCCCCAGGTTGTACATGGCATCGGCGTAGTGCGAGCAGTGCTCGCTCGTAGTGCGCCACTCCAGCCAGATTTTACATGTATCCCATCCAAGTGCCCAGGCTGCACATGTGTATGTGCATGCTCATGTGAATGGCACATGTGGTCTAACTTACCATATCAAACTTGAGCATCTCCCCATAGGCCACCCCCAGGTTGTACATGGCATCGGCGTAGTGCGAGTTGAACAGCAGCGCCCACTTGTAGTGCGCCCAGGCAATACATGAGGGTTGTATGCGTGTGCAAACATGCACACCTGTCTGTGCACATGAATATGTGTGCATTCATGTGCATGTGGTCTCACCATGTCGAACTTGAGCATCTCCCCATAGGCCACCCCCAGGTTGTACATGGCATCGGCGTAGTGCGAGTTGAACAGCAGCGCCCACTTGTAGTGCGCCCAGGCAATACATGAGGGTTGTATGCGTGTGCAAACATGCACACCTGTCTGTGCACATGAATATGTGTGCATTCATGTGCATGTGGTCTCACCATGTCGAACTTGAGCATCTCCCCATAGGCCACCCCCAGGTTGTACATGGCATCGGCGTAGTGCGAGTTGAACAGCAGCGCCCGCTTGTAGTGCGCCCAGGCAATACATGAGGGTTGTATGCGTGTGCAAACATGCAAATTCGTCTGCGCGCATATGCACATGCACGTGGTCTCACTCACTCACTCACCATGTCGAACTTGAGCATCTCCCCGTAAGCCACCCCCAGGTTGTACATGGCATCGGCGTAATGAGAGTTGAACAGCAGCGCCCGCTTGTAGTGCGCCACGCCCGCTGATATGTCGCCCTCTAGCTTCACCTGTGGGAAGAACGGGGTGGGGGGGGAGGGAGAGGGGGTTTTGAGGGGAAATATGTGAACGAGATACCATGCTCATAGTGCTGCTGCTACGTACCTTGGTGCCCAGGTCGGTGAGGGCGAAGGCAATGTTGCTCCCTGTGGCTTTTGAGTTGACTCAAAAGTCTGCTTTTGAGTCGAATCAAATGCTACATACACCTGTCCACCTGTCAACGCCCACCTTCCCTCCCGGCCCCGTACCTTGGTGCCCAGGTCGGTGAGAGCAATGGCAAGGTTGCTCCCTGTGGCTGTTCATGCCACTTGATCTTCCCTCCAAAATCCCTTCCTCCACCCCCCTCCCCCCCACCTACATCTCGGCCCTCCCTACCCACCATACCTTGGTTCCCAGGTCAGTGAGAGCGATAGCCATGTTGTTGCGCGCGATGGTGAAATTAGGCGCCACTGCCAAACACCTGGTTGCGGCAAGAAAGGGGAGGTGGTGTGGGGAAGAGAGGGGGGGGGGAGCAAGGGGTTTGGTGAGGGTGAGAGCGATGGCCATGTTGTTGCGCGCAATGGTGAAATTAGGCGCCACCGCCAGACACCTGGTGGCGGCAGAGGTGGTGGGGGAAGAGAGTGTGGGGGGGGGGGAGGTGGGCACAACAAGGGGGTGGGGAACAGCAGAGGGGTCAGTGAGAGCAATGGCCATGTTGATGCGCGCGATGGTGAAGTTGGGCGCCACTGCCAGACACCTGGTTGCGCCAGGAAGGAATGGGTGGTCGTGGGAAGGGGGTGACTTTTTGAGTCGACTCAAAAGTTGCGCCAGGAAGGAATGGGTGGTCGTGGGAAGGGAGGAGGGGGAGGGAAGGCGGGAACAGCAGGGCGGTGGGGGACGGCAAAGGGTTCGGTGAGAGCAATGGCCATGCTGATGCGCGCAATGGTGAAGTTGGGAGCCATTGCGAGACACCTGATGGCGAGGAAAGAGGGGGGAAAGGGGGGAGGGAAGCAGGGGAAACGCAAAGAAGTAGGGGAATGGGAAAAGAGCACCAGGGAGGCAGCTCCTGCCATGATGGAGGTGTATGGGAGAATGCAGGGGGCGGCGGGGAGGACGTGGAGGGTTGAGGGAATGTGGATGGGCGGGGGAGTGTCAGGCGGTGACAGGAACGAGGGGGGGTGAATAGAATGTGGGGGTTTTATTGGAACGTGTGGGGGTGAACGGAACGTGAGGTTGAGGGAGTGGTATTACCACTCACTCTCCCCATGTTGCAATGCGCCTCGGCATAGAGCGGCCTGAGCGCCTCCTCTGAACGTATCCCCTGGGATGCAAGTGGGTGGGGGGATGCGTGCAGAGGTATCCCCTGGGATGCGAGTGGGTGGGGGGATGCGTGCAGAGGTATCCCCTGGGATGCGAGTGGGTGGGGGGATGCGTGCAGAGGTATCCCCTGGGATGCGAGTGGGTGGGGGGATGCGTGCAGAGGTATCCCCTGGGATGCGAGTGGGTGGGGGGATGCGTGCAGAGGTATCCCCTGGGATGCGAGTGGGTGGGGGGATGCGTGCAGAGGTATCCCCTGGGATGCGAGTGGGTGGGGGGATGCGTGCAGAGGTATCCCCTGGGATGCGCCTCCTCTGCACGCATCCCCTGGTATCCCCCCACCCACTTACCACTCGTAGCAAGCAATAGCTGAATGTAAATCGCCGCAGTTCTTGTAAATGGCACCCATGTTGCAATGTGCCTCCGCATAGAGCGGCCTGAGCGGCCCCATTGCATGCATGCCCGCCCACTGGTACACACGCCACGCCCCCCCAAACCAGGCACCCACCGCTCATAACAGGCGATAGCAGAGTGTGAATCGCCGCAGTTCTTGTAGATCACGCCCATGTTGCACTGCGCCTCCGCATAGAGCGGCCTGAGCGGCCCCCTTGCATGCATGCATGCCCGCCCACTGGTACCCACGCCACACCCCCTTAGACACCACCCACTTACCGCTCATAACAGGCAACAGCCGAGTGTAAATGTGTTTTGAGACGTCTCAAAAAGCGCCCCCCTTACATTGCATGCATGCCCGCCCACTGGTACCCACGCCACGCCCCCTTAGACACCACCCACCCACCGCTCATAACAGGCGATAGCCGAGTGTAAATCGCCGCAGTTCTTATAGATCACGCCCATGTTGCAATGCGCCTCTGCATAGAGCGGCCTGAGCGTCACTGCCTTGTCATAGAACTGCAGAGCCGCCTCGTACTGCCCCATCTCTGAATACACCACCCCTAGGTTGTAGTATGCCGGCTGGATTGGGGGGATAGGGGTCAAGGACAGGGGACAAGGGATTGGGGGACAGGCGGGACGGGGGGGACAGGGCACCCCTCTGCATAGAGCGGCCTGAGCGCCACTGCCTTGTGGTAGAACTGAAGGGCCACCCCGTACTGCCCCATCTCCGAATACACCACCCCTAGGTTGTAGTATGCCGGGGACACGGGTGGAGGGCGACATGTGTGGGCAGCAGGGGACAGGGGCGTGGGTGGGAGAATGCGGCAGTGTGAATGCATGCTTGCCTCGCACTGCCCCCCCGTCTTCGAATACACCACCCCTAGGTTGCAGTACGCCGGCTGGATGGGGGGGAAGGGCGAGAGAAGGGTGGGGAGTGAGAGAACGAGTCTAGGGACAGGGGTGGGGGAGAATGCAGCGCCGTGAAAACAACCTCTCCTCACCGCGTATCTCTGGTTGGAAGCAATGGCCTAGTGGTGCTTGCTTGGCTATGCCCTGCTGAACGGACCCCCCCAGCTTGAGGCGCTAACTAAAACGCCTTACCGTACACCACCCCATACCACCGCATACCACCGCACTGAACTGCATCTCATTGCGTATCTCTGGTCAGTAACAGCAGCAGCCTCATAATACTTGGCTATGCCCTCCTGCACGGACACCCCCAGCTTGAGGCGCTGATTGAAATGCCACACACCGCATACCACCCCATACCACTGCATACCACCCACCAAAATCCACCACATACCACCCCACTGAACCGCATCTTACCGCGTATCTCTGGTCGGCAGCAATGGCCTCGTAGTACTTGGCAATCCCCTCCTGCACCGACCCCCCAGCTTGAGGCGCGTGTCCAGGTCTGTGAGCACCACTGGAAGTTGCTACTGTGCCTCCTTACCACCATTTTCCACCGCATACCAACGCACTGAACCGCACACAACCGCACTGAACCGCATCTTACCGCGTATCTCTGGTCGGCAGCAATAGCCTCATAATATTTCGCTATGCCCTCCTGCACGGACCCCCCCAGCTTGAGGCGCGTGCCCAGGTCTGTGAGCACCACTGCCAGCTGCTCCTGTGCCTCCTTGCACCCCGGATCCGCCTCTAGCGCCTTTCTGTACGCCTGGGGGAATGGGGGAAAGCGCAGTGGGGTATCGTGTCAGCAGCAGCAGGCTCCCTTGCAGCTTATTAAGGCGCGTGCCCAGGTCTGTGAGCACCACCGCCAGCTGCTCCTGTGCCTCCTTGCACCCCGCATCCGCCTCTAGCGCCTTTCTGTACGCCTGAGGGGGGTAAATGGAGGTGGGGAAGAGGGGGGCGGGAAGTTAGGAGGAGGAGAAGGGGGGTTGAGACGAGGGGGGTTGTGGGGTGGTGAGAGAGGAAGGAACAGTGGGTGGGTGGGAGCATCACAAGCCACGTGTAGATAAGTGACGTGATTGAAGAAGTGTTTTGAGACGTCACAAAACACTTCTTCAATCACGTGGGAGCATCACAAGCCACGTGTAGATAAGTGACGTGATTAAAGAAGTGTTTTGAGACGTGTCAAAACACTTCTTCAATCACGTGGGAGCATCACAAGCCACGTGTAGATAAGTGATTTTGGAGACGTCTCAAGCAGGCACGATCGCTGATCTACAGTGGGTGGGTGGGTGGGAGCATCACAAGCAGGCACGATCGCTTGCAGCTTGAGGCGTGTGCGTGTCCAGGTCTGCAAGCAGCAAAGCCGCCCTCGTTCCCACCTCTCCCCCATTCTCTCCTACCCTCCTCCTCTCCCCTTCCTCCTCTTCCTCCTCTCCCCCTCCTCACACCCTCCTCTCCCCCTCCTTTCCCTTCCCACCTCTCCCTCCGCTCCTCCTCTCCCCGTCCTTTCTCTCTCCACGACTCTCTCCTTCTCCCCCCTCACTCCCCTCTCCCCCCTCACTCCCCTCTCCCTCCTCACCCACTCACCTAAAACCTCTCCTCCCCTTCCCCTCCTCTCCGCCTCCTCTTCCCTCTTATCACCCTCCTCTCCCCTCCTCTCCCCTCCTCTCCTCCCTCCTTTTCCTCCTCACCCACTCAACTCAATCCCCTCTCCCCTCTCCCTCACATCCCCCCACTCACCTTGATCACCTCGTCCCCTCCTCCCGCTCCCCCCACTTACCTCAATCACAATTCCACTTCTCTCCCCTCACCTCTCCACGCTCCGCTTTCCCCTCCTCCCCCTCACGCACCTCTATCACCTCTCACAGCTGCCCCTCCCCCTCCCCCCATGCACCTCTATCACCTCTCCACTCCCCTCCCCATCTCTCCTCTCACCTCAACCACCACCCCAACTCCTCTCCCCCCACCTTTCCCCGCTCCTCTTTCCCCTCCCCCTCCCCCCACGCACCTCTATAGCCTCTAGCAAGTGCCCCTCCTCTTTGTACAGCACTCCGCACTGCGTCAACGCTACAGCGTGTGTCGGATTCAGCTGTAACGCGGACACGTACGCCTCAAACGCCGCGCTAAGCTTCCCCTGCGCCTGCAAACACTGCCCCTTACCCACTAGCGCCTCCGCCGTCGCGGCGGCCGCGGCCCCGCCCGCCCCTCCCCCGCCCGCTCCCGCTCCCCCTTCCCCCGCGCTCGCGGCCCCTCCTAATGTCCCCGCTCCGCTGCCCGTTCCATTTCCCCTCGTCATAGTCACAGCTGCTCCTATTCTCTCCGCTATAATCGCCTCGTATATCGCGAGCGCTTCGTTAACTTTCCCCCGAGACCTAAGCATAGCCGCATACCCTAACGGATCCTTCACGGCACTAAGCCGTCCCGCCGCCGCGGCTGCGGCTGCGGCTGCGGCGGCGGCGGCGGCGGACGCGGCGGTGGCGGGGGCGGCGATGGCCGCAGAAGGGATTAAACCGCCTGCGCCGTTAGCGGCGGCGGCGGAAACGGCACCTGCGACGGGGAGCGACGCGGAAACTGGTTGCGGGTATGTCGCTGCTGCAGCGGCGGCGGCAGCGGCGGCTGCGGCGGCGGCGGCGGCGGCAGCAGGGTCGAAGTGAGACGAGACAAAACCGTTGCTCGGGAAACCGGGATGTGTGGGCATGACAGGGGCTTGCATGGGAATTAAAGCCTGTCCAGATGCGGTCGAAGCGCTGGAGCCTCCTAACGACGCAAATAGTGGGTTACCTAAAGCGCTGTGATTCAACCCTTGCGCGCCGCCGCTGATGTGGAGGTTGCTTATTGGATGATGAGCGCCGGGAGGTAGAAACGGAATTAACGCCGCGGCGTTACCAGCGTAAGGGGATGGGAACGGCAAGTGACCGTGCGATAGGGAGATGGACGGTTGAGATGCACCGACAGGCGAGAGTCCAGGGATTCCTGCGATTGACTTTAACAAGGCGAGTAAGTGATTGTGCTGCACGGACGCTGCAGCAGGTGATAGTAACGCGGGGTGATTATGAAGAGAACCCGCTGAAGGGAGCAACATCCATCCCCCAGCCGCCGCCGCCGCCGCAGCGGCAGCAGCCGCAGCAGCAGCCGCCGCAGCCGCTGCTTGACTCCCGTCGTGCTGCTCCAGAGCGGCTGCTTCCGCACCCAAACCGCCGTTTCCTACGCCAGAAATTGCGCCGGGAATCGCGGCGCGAACCGCGGCACCTCCAGACGAAGCAGCCGCACCGCAGCCACTGCCGCCGCCGCCGCCAACGTGCGGATCAGCAAGCGGCAAGCCCGGACTCATGATCCGGGAAACACGCCAGCTTGTCCGTCAGAGTGGTCGCGATCGATTTGAGTTTCGCATGGCTAGAACGACGTGGCAACTCCTGAGAGAAACGAAAGGCGGCTGTCGAGGTGAGTAACTGCTTCGCAAATCTACACACGAGAGCTGTTTGGACTACGCTGGCGTGAAGCGTCAGAAACGACTACGTTCCGGCGAATTTGTTGGGACTGACTGCTTCTCTAGGCGGAACACACACTCAAGCTAGACTGAACCCTAAAGTCCGAGGGGAAGGAGTGCGATGAGTTGTCGGGAGCTCCTTTGATCATCCATTGTCGGAGAACGATGCAGTCTAAAAGGGTTCAACGGCTAAGCTGTTCAACAGAACTGTTCTAGGACAAATTCGCTCGAGAAAAAAGGAAGGGGGGTGGGGGGGGAGGGGGGGGGGAGGGAGGAATCGCGACGGCCTGAACACTAAGAAGTAACAAGATGCTTTTGATTGAGTTCGCAATTACTGTAATAAGACACCAAAACGAGGACGGCTCGAATACGGCAACCTACTAACCAGAAACGGCAAGGAGGGAAGCTGAGAACCGATCACTCAAATCTCGGCTACTAGAACACGCTCTGCACGAGTGAGTGAGGTCGCATGAAGTGTCTCGTGGTGCACTGAAAAAACGGCATAAGCAGACAGAAGCGGGGACCGCAGAGGGAGGATGCTGAAGCTGGCACGGATGCAAGCAAGTGGTACAGGGGACAGACGGGGGAAGGGCGGCCATGGAAGCGGTGGAGAAGGTGGTGGTCGTGGGGGAGGAGATTTCGAGGGTGTTGTTGCGCGAAAACGAGTATGCGCGAAATAGTTTGACGAAAGACTTATAAACGCAAAAATGTGAGTTACTTTTCATTGGCGACTCGTGTCATCAGGTTACTGAGTCGGCAGTTGTCGCGACTCCACTGTTTGGGGGGTTTCAACTTGATCCAGGCGGAGATGGACGGTACCGATAGCTTGTCCTGCCCAATCGAGGGTAGCATGCGGCACTGCTTTCCCGTCTCGAAGTTTGTGGAACAAGTAGCGGAACGGGAGGCGCAGAGTGTCTGGTAGGTTCCGAAGCGGAAATCGACGGCTCTAAAGCTCCTCACGGAAATCCTTACATTGAGCCGTAGTAGTTGTGGTGCCCCCAAACCTGGGAGAACCAGGAGTTCATGCGGGCAGATTTTAGGTTTGAAAGTAACCAAATGTCGAGACAAAACAGCATGGACGACTCGTCAGTTTTGGTGGCAATATGTGACTGGCTGCAAACTTTTCACTGCAGACCAGTGTATGACCAACCCGCCTTCAAAATCTCGATGTCTTCGTTAGACGACGTGTTACAACCTTGTTTGAACAATGCCTCTTAAATGTTGAATGAAACGCAACGCAATCTAATAACTGTGTGTGCAGTAGAGAGTACTGGCAGCATACAGAAATAAGCTATTCTCCCCATAAATTTTTTCCCAGCACCACGAGAATCTACACCGCAGGAAAAGGAAGAACTAGCCCCACATTGTGGCTTGCACTGCATTGAGTTCTGCGCTAGACTGCGGGCCAGAGGAGGAAGAGCCCCACATCGTGGCTTGGAACTGGCGCACTCAGCTCCCCTGAGATGACCGAGTCCATAGTTGCCTTCTGCAGTGTGGGCGATGCAGCACGGGGTGGGGACAAATGATAGTTGACACGTGTGTGGGGGTTGTGGGGGGAGGGGAAGGGGGAAGGGGGAAGGGGGAGGGGGAGGGGGAAAGGGGAGGGAATTGGGGGTGTGGGGGTATTCAGCTCCCCTGGAATGACCGAGTCCATAGTTGCCTTCTGCAGTGTGGGAGATGCAACACAGGATGGGATGGAGAGAAATGACTCTGGGTGTGGGTGTGGGTGTGCGTGTGTGTGTGTGTGTGTGTGTGTGTGTGTGAGTGAGTGAGTGTGAGTGTGCGTGCGTGAGTGAAAGTGTTCGTGCGTGTGTGAGTTAGTGTAAGAGTGTGTGTGCGCGTGAGTGAGCGTGTGTGCGCGTGAGTGAGCGTGTGCGTGTGAGCTGTGCACACGCTCATGTGCTCAGCTCCACTGAAACGACATAGTCCATAGTTGCCTTCTGCAGTGTGGTAGATGCATCATGGGATGTAACTTGTAAGTCTGCATGTATGTGTGTGAGTGTATGTGTGTGAGTATATGTGTGTGTGAGTGTATGTGCGTGTGTGCACTTGCGCATCTGCTTGCACACATGTATGTGTATATGTGTGCATGTACGTGTGTGTGTGTGCGAGAGAATGAGCGAGTGTGTATGTCTTTGTGTGCATGTGTTTGTGTGAGCGCAAGCACGACTCCATGCGTGCATGAGCAAGTGTGTATGCAAATGCAAGTACCCACCCTCACCAAGTGCAGTTATGCACAGAAGCGCAAGAGTGTGGATGGAGAAGGGAGGGAAACAGGCAGGGAAGGTCTTCCAGAGAGACTTGCTATGGAGACATCCATCTTCCTAAGATCTCATGCGTACATCAGCTGCACCAGATTCTTTAGTCGACCCAGAACCAATCCCTTTATCAAGTCACGTACCTTCCACAGGTCTCGTGCATGCATCCACTGCACTGGAGTTTGTAGTCAACCGAAAGCCACACCTTTTATCAAGCCACGTACCTTCCACAGGTCTCGTGCATACATCCGCTGCACAGGATTCAGCCCCATGGCTTTCCATCGGGCAGTGATCTTCAAGCTGATTGGGCTGCGATTCACCAGAGCTACCACCAGCCGACCCTCCGACAGAGGCCCGGACCAAACCTGCAGGTTCCAAGACCAAACCAGGACGCATGGGGGAAGGGCAGTAATATGAACCGTGATGCTGTGAGTGGCTACAACAGCTGCTGGTTGTTTACTTGGTGCCTCAAATGGAAGCACCTGCTAACTAGGGAGGCACCTGACCGCTTCTGATGGGCCATACCCATCCGAGCCCACATACTTGCTGCAGGGGACTTGTTCTGATCTGATTTCATTCGCTTTAATTTGATTTGCTTTAACCTAGTCCGATGTGATACGCTCGGATCTGATTTACTAACCTCCATGAAAGAATCTTCAGAGACTTGCACCTTCCTTGCCTGAACGCCCAGTGGGTCTGCACCAATCAGAGCATGACACGTGTGAGCAAGTACAGGAGTTGGTGAAACACCATCGCTGAGCTTATGATGGGGTACCATTGGCAGGCCCGCTAAGTTGCATGACATCAGCAGGCAGGACATAAGTTGCATGAATTGAGTGACGCAGTAGCATGCACAAGCAGCGGCAAGAGAACATACCCTGGTTGAGAGCAATAACCTCTTCATTTCCCAGAATGGCCAACGTCTTATTTGAAACAACCGAAAGATCGCAGCCAATCAGGAGTGGTGCCTGGTGGGAGGGTGTGAGGTTTGAATAGAGGAATAAATTCAAACTAGATTCTCTGCGCATGTCAACTGTCGGAACTGGAGACCAGAAATGAAAAAGAAGCGCACATGCAAGATCTGGGAGGTGACTGTTGGGTCGACTGTAAGATGACTGGTGAATCGATTATGTATGTATGTATGTATGTACGTATGTATGTATGTATGTATGTATGTATGTATGTATGTATGTATGTATGTATGTATGTGTGTGTGTGTGTGTGTGTGTGTGTGTGTGTGTGTGTGTGTGTGTGTGTGTGTGTGTGTGTGTGTGTGTGTGTGTGTGTGTGTGTGTGTATGTATGTATGTATGTATGTATGTATGTATGTATGTATGTATGTATGCTATGTATGCATGGATGCATGCATACATGCGTGCAGGCAAATATACATGTCTACATATATACACACATATACATACATACATGCATACATATACATACATATACATATATATACATATATATACAAAAATGAAGAGACGTTAATCACCTTCATGATGGCCCATCGTACCTTCATGATGGCCCATCGCACCTTCATGATGGCCCATCGTACCTTCATGATGGCCCATCGCACCTTCATGATGGCCCATCGCACCTTCATGATGGCCCATCGCACCTTCATGATGGCCCATCGCACCTTCATGATGGCCCATCGCACCTTCATGATGGCCCATCGCACCTTCATGATGGCCCATCGCACCTTCATGATGGCCCATCGCACCTTCATGATGGCCCATCGCACCTTCATGATGGCCCATCGTACCTTCATGATGGCCCATCGCACCTTCATGATGGCCCATCGCACCTTCATGATGGCCCATCGCACCTTCATGATGGCCCATCGCACCTTCATGATGGCCCATCGCACCTTCATGATGGCCCATCGCACCTTCATGATGGCCCATCGCACCTTCATGATGGCCCATCGCACCTTCATGATGGCCCATCGCACCTTCATGATGGCCCATCGCACCTTCATGATGGCCCATCGCACCTTCATGATGGCCCATCGCACCTTCATGATGGCCCATCGCACCTTCATGATGGCCCATCGCACCTTCATGATGGCCCATCGCACCTTCATGATGGCCCATCGCACCTTCATGATGGCCCATCGCACCTTCATGATGGCCCATCGCACCTTCATGATGGCCCATCGCACCTTCATGATGGCCCATCGCACCTTCATGATGGCCCATCGCACCTTCATGATGGCCCATCGCACCTTCATGATGGCCCATCGCACCTTCATGATGGCCCATCGCACCTTCATGATGGCCCATCGCACCTTCATGATGGCCCATCGCACCTTCATGATGGCCCATCGCACCTTCATGATGGCCCATCGCACCTTCATGATGGCCCATCGCACCTTCATGATGGCCCATCGCACCTTCATGATGGCCCATCGCACCTTCATGATGGCCCATCGCACCTTCATGATGGCCCATCGCACCTTCATGATGGCCCATCGCACCTTCATGATGGCCCATCGCACCTTCATGATGGCCCATCGCACCTTCATGATGGCCCATCGCACCTTCATGATGGCCCATCGCACCTTCATGATGGCCCATCGCACCTTCATGATGGCCCATCGCACCTTCATGATGGCCCATCGCACCTTCATGATGGCCCATCGCACCTTCATGATGGCCCATCGCACCTTCATGATGGCCCATCGCACCTTCATGATGGCCCATCGCACCTTCATGATGGCCCATCGCACCTTCATGATGGCCCATCGCACCTTCATGATGGCCCATCGCACCTTCATGATGGCCCATCGCACCTTCATGATGGCCCATCGCACCTTCATGATGGCCCATCGCACCTTCATGATGGCCCATCGCACCTTCATGATGGCCCATCGCACCTTCATGATGGCCCATCGCACCTTCATGATGGCCCATCGCACCTTCATGATGGCCCATCGCACCTTCATGATGGCCCATCGCACCTTCATGATGGCCCATCGCACCTTCATGATGGCCCATCGCACCTTCATGATGGCCCATCGCACCTTCATGATGGCCCATCGCACCTTCATGATGGCCCATCGCACCTTCATGATGGCCCATCGCACCTTCATGATGGCCCATCGCACCTTCATGATGGCCCATCGCACCTTCATGATGGCCCATCGCACCTTCATGATGGCCCATCGCACCTTCATGATGGCCCATCGCACCTTCATGATGGCCCATCGCACCTTCATGATGGCCCATCGCACCTTCATGATGGCCCATCGCACCTTCATGATGGCCCATCGCACCTTCATGATGGCCCATCGCACCTTCATGATGGCCCATCGCACCTTCATGATGGCCCATCGCACCTTCATGATGGCCCATCGCACCTTCATGATGGCCCATCGCACCTTCATGATGGCCCATCGCACCTTCATGATGGCCCATCGCACCTTCATGATGGCCCATCGCACCTTCATGATGGCCCATCGCACCTTCATGATGGCCCATCGCACCTTCATGATGGCCCATCGCACCTTCATGATGGCCCATCGCACCTTCATGATGGCCCATCGCACCTTCATGATGGCCCATCGCACCTTCATGATGGCCCATCGCACCTTCATGATGGCCCATCGCACCTTCATGATGGCCCATCGCACCTTCATGATGGCCCATCGCACCTTCATGATGGCCCATCGCACCTTCATGATGGCCCATCGCACCTTCATGATGGCCCATCGCACCTTCATGATGGCCCATCGCACCTTCATGATGGCCCATCGCACCTTCATGATGGCCCATCGCACCTTCATGATGGCCCATCGCACCTTCATGATGGCCCATCGCACCTTCATGATGGCCCATCGCACCTTCATGATGGCCCATCGCACCTTCATGATGGCCCATCGCACCTTCATGATGGCCCATCGCACCTTCATGATGGCCCATCGCACCTTCATGATGGCCCATCGCACCTTCATGATGGCCCATCGCACCTTCATGATGGCCCATCGCACCTTCATGATGGCCCATCGCACCTTCATGATGGCCCATCGCACCTTCATGATGGCCCATCGCACCTTCATGATGGCCCATCGCACCTTCATGATGGCCCATCGCACCTTCATGATGGCCCATCGCACCTTCATGATGGCCCATCGCACCTTCATGATGGCCCATCGCACCTTCATGATGGCCCATCGCACCTTCATGATGGCCCATCGCACCTTCATGATGGCCCATCGCACCTTCATGATGGCCCATCGCACCTTCATGATGGCCCATCGCACCTTCATGATGGCCCATCGCACCTTCATGATGGCCCATCGCACCTTCATGATGGCCCATCGCACCTTCATGATGGCCCATCGCACCTTCATGATGGCCCATCGCACCTTCATGATGGCCCATCGCACCTTCATGATGGCCCATCGCACCTTCATGATGGCCCATCGCACCTTCATGATGGCCCATCGCACCTTCATGATGGCCCATCGCACCTTCATGATGGCCCATCGCACCTTCATGATGGCCCATCGCACCTTCATGATGGCCCATCGCACCTTCATGATGGCCCATCGCACCTTCATGATGGCCCATCGCACCTTCATGATGGCCCATCGCACCTTCATGATGGCCCATCGCACCTTCATGATGGCCCATCGCACCTTCATGATGGCCCATCGCACCTTCATGATGGCCCATCGCACCTTCATGATGGCCCATCGCACCTTCATGATGGCCCATCGCACCTTCATGATGGCCCATCGCACCTTCATGATGGCCCATCGCACCTTCATGATGGCCCATCGCACCTTCATGATGGCCCATCGCACCTTCATGATGGCCCATCGCACCTTCATGATGGCCCATCGCACCTTCATGATGGCCCATCGCACCTTCATGATGGCCCATCGCACCTTCATGATGGCCCATCGCACCTTCATGATGGCCCATCGCACCTTCATGATGGCCCATCGCACCTTCATGATGGCCCATCGCACCTTCATGATGGCCCATCGCACCTTCATGATGGCCCATCGCACCTTCATGATGGCCCATCGCACCTTCATGATGGCCCATCGCACCTTCATGATGGCCCATCGCACCTTCATGATGGCCCATCGCACCTTCATGATGGCCCATCGCACCTTCATGATGGCCCATCGCACCTTCATGATGGCCCATCGCACCTTCATGATGGCCCATCGCACCTTCATGATGGCCCATCGCACCTTCATGATGGCCCATCGCACCTTCATGATGGCCCATCGCACCTTCATGATGGCCCATCGCACCTTCATGATGGCCCATCGCACCTTCATGATGGCCCATCGCACCTTCATGATGGCCCATCGCACCTTCATGATGGCCCATCGCACCTTCATGATGGCCCATCGCACCTTCATGATGGCCCATCGCACCTTCATGATGGCCCATCGCACCTTCATGATGGCCCATCGCACCTTCATGATGGCCCATCGCACCTTCATGATGGCCCATCGCACCTTCTGAATGGCCCATCGCACCTTCATGATGGCCCATCGCACCTTCATGATGGCCCAGAGGCTGAAGTGCACACGATACTCCGAATCCTTCATGCCGCCGTTCCCCACCTGCAGCATGTCCGGGTCTGTCAAGGGTGGTGGGTGAGGAAGAGCAACGGCAGAGTTGGGAGGAAACGGGGGAGGTATGTTAGAGGGGAAGTCAGTTCCCCACCTGCAGCATGTCCAGGTCTGATGGGGGAGAGGGGGGTCGGGGAGGGAGAGCAAAGGCAGGGTCATGATACGGGTTGGGGATAGGGGGAATGAGGGAGTGTCCATTCCCCACCTGCAGCATGTCCGGGTCTGAAGGTTGGGGGGGTTGGGGGGATGTTGGAGAGGAAGGGTGGGAGGCAACAACACTGGCTGATGCATGAGTGAGACAAGAATCACTTTTCACCCTGTGAGATGGATTCATCTTTCAACAGCAGAAGGAGGGAGGGACAGCAAAAGCGGCCACTTCTGAGAAATCTCAAAAGCGGTGCAAGCATGGCAGAAAAAGCGGCAGACTATAGGAGCTTGATGCGGCTTCGATTTAACCAAGTTGAAGAGAATCGCCGCCCATTCCAACGTGAATTTGATTAAATCAAGGTGAATATAGCCACCTCCTGTGCTGGGCATATTCAAATGTCCCACTGGTACGCACCGTTCCACCCGCCTGGCTTGGCGTATTTGGCCCACTTGTTGTTGATGTCTGCAATGCGCATCATGCTGCATGTGATACGTGCCACACGGGCACATGTATGCACAAAGACAGGAAGGTAAGGCACCGTTACTGATGGCACATGCACTTGTTGTTGATGTCTGCAATGCGCATCATGCTGCAAGAGGGCCACATGCCAAATGCCACATGCCACGTGCCACATGGCACATGCATGCACAAAAGAAGGGAGGCAAGGTATCGTTACTGATGGCACACCCACTTGTTGTTCTTGTCTGCAATGCGAATCATGCTGCATGTGAAACGTGCCACACGCCACAAGCATGCACACAGGCAGGGAGGCAAGATGGTACCAGTAAGTTCTGAGGTGTGTCTTGAAACAGGTCCTTTCGACTCATCTCTCCCTTGGCTACCAACCTCCCCAATCTCTACCATGCATTCGTTCTCACCCTTCTCCCTCTCCAATTACCTCCCCCCTGTTTCCTCCTACTTCACACTCCCCCCACCTCTCCTTCCGTCCCTTCTCATCCCTCTCTTCCACTCCGTTGACCATCTCCACCCCTCACCCTTTCCTCTCCTCTCCCCTCCACGTGACCCTCCTCACCTGCTCCACATGTCCTCACCTGCTCCACATGTCCTCACCTGCTCCACATGTCCTCACCTCCTCCACATGTCCTCACCTCCTCTCCTCCACGTGTCCTCACCTCCTCCACATGTCCTCACCTCCTCTCCTCCACGTGTCCTCACCTGCTCCACATGTCCTCACCTGCTCCACATGTCCTCACCTCCTCCACATGTCCTCACCTCCTCTCCTCCACGTGTCCTCACCTCCTCCACATGTCCTCACCTCCTCTCCTCCACGTGTCCTCACCTGCTCCACATGTCCTCACCTGCTCCACATGTCCTCACCTCCTCCACATGTCCTCACCTCCTCTCCTCCACGTGTCCTCACCTCCTCTCCTCCACGTGTCCTCACCTCCTCCACATGTCCTCACCTCCTCCACTCCACGTTACCTCACCTGCTCCACGTGTCCTCGATGTCACGGGTGGTGCGCCACGTGTCTGCCACGCCATACGCCCACAGAGCAGGGAGATCCTGTCCCCTGCAGACAGCAATAACGGAGATGATGGAGTGACTGAAATTAGAATTGTTTTGAGACGTCTCAAAACGTGTCTGCCACGCCATGTGCCCACAGAGCAGGGAGATCCTGCCCCCTGTAGACAGCAATAATCGAGGCAATGGAGCAACTGACGGGCTTGGCTTTAGAGTCCACACACAGCAATTTGCAAGCCGTCGCACATGGCGCATCCCCAAATGGAATCCTCTAACCATTCGCAAATGGAGAAGAAAATGTCCCTTGCAGAACACCACTGGGGAGGGATATTTTCTTCTCCATGTGCGAATGGTGAGCTCATATTGGGTGCATGCTGAGTTCTTGGAACATTTGCAAGCGGTCGCACATGGCGCATCCCCAGATGAAAATGTCCCTCCCAGCAATAACCTCATTCAGCATGCATCCATGTGAGCTCACCATTCGCACATCGAGAAGAAAATGTCCCTCCCAGTGGCCTCTAATGCATTGCGCATGGTCGTATAGCTGATGGCAGCGGGGGGTATGGGAGAGATGGGAGGGAGGGATGGAGGGCATTGGTTGAGGCATGGGGGGTATGGAGGGATGACAGGGATGGGATGGGTGGCATGGATACAAATCATTCACTCAAAGACGTTTCCAAAGTCAACGGATTAGTCTTAAAGGGTGGACTAAATGAGAGTAGTGGCACACAAGCATGACTGCAGGGAGCACATACGTACCGCTTCTTGCTGGGACTTCCATCATTGTAACAGTTGTCGTACTTGAGATAATCCACTCCCTGTCACATGCACGTGCGACAAGCAAGGAAGACGGATTTTGGGTCGACTCAGAGGTCATTGTAACAGTTGCCGTACTTGAGATAATCCGCTCCCTGTCACATGCACATGCCACAGACACGGGATCAACCGCCGCAAGAATGTGCCACAGTTGCTAGTGCGTGCGTGAGGGCATGTGCGCACGCAGCAGAGAACGTGTGCGTCATGACTCACTCACTCACCCATTCAGCAAAGGTGGCAGCATCCACTGCTTCATGCCACAGTGAGCCCGGCTTGAGTGCGCACGTGCGAATGCTGGTGCGGGGGTGGAGGTACCATACAACCCAGACAGGTACATACATACATACATTCATAAGCATGGAGAATTTGACATATCTACCTGGTTCCAGGAATTTTCTACACTCTCAGACAAAAGGACCAGCTCAGAAAATATGCACACTCTCTCCTCTCCTCCATCTTCTTCCCCACTTGCTGTTGCATACCATTCCCAACCAGCTAGATGCATCATGCTCTCACCCAGTATCGGAGTATATGCCCAGCCTGAGCCCCTTGCTGTGCACATAGTCTGCAGCACCACTCCCAACCCCCTCACTTCGTTCCCCAACCCCTCTCCATTGTAGCCCCTTCAGACCATATCGACGCACTGACTCACCCAGCGTCAGAGTAGATGCCCAGCTTGAGCCCCTTGCTGTGCACATAATCTGCTAGCGCCTTGATGCCCGAAGGGAATGCGTCCGGGGATGGTGCCAGGCGGCCCTGAACACAGTGGACAAAAAGACAACAAGGGATGGTTGTTGCGATGGAATGCATGGGGCTTTTGAGACGTCATACATTTGAACGAATGGCCCAGGGGACCCTGAACACACAGCGGATTGCGCGGAGATGCGAGCCATCCTTGAGGAAATGCAAACTGGGTTTGAGACGTCTCAAGACTGGGGATGGCGCCAGGCGGCCCGAACAGTGCACTCTGTTCCTCTGAACAGTGCACTCTGTTCCTCTGAACAGTGCACTCTGTTCCTCTGAACAGTGTACTCTGTTCCTCTGAAAGTGCACTCTGTTCCTCTGAACAGTGCCCTTCCTCTCTCTGAACACACAGTGGACGGACAGTGCAGAGAGAGGAAATGGATGGGGGTTTTAATGCATGGGACACATTGGACTCGGATGCATGGGATGGGAGGATAATTTACCCACCTCAGAGTCTCGAGAGTCTGCTTGCCAGCAATCATCTGTGAAAAAGAGAGGGGTCAAGTCACGATGTTAGCAGGATGCAAGTGACACAAGGCGGAGGTCAGGCAACTACATGCCAAATCAACCCAATGAGCAAAAGTATGCAACAAGGCGACATGATTATGCTCGCAATGCGTTCAGGCAAGCCCCAATCTCAACATAGCCCTGTCTGCAGGTGGTTGCCTTTTTACTCCTGTTTTAACATGCCTGGAACTACGATGAAGATTGATTCAATCACAATATTCATCATATCCACTTATTGCTATCTACATGCGCAAGCAAGCAAGCACTGCAAGTATTTAATGAAGTTTCATCTCACCGATGTTGACATAGATGTAGCCAAGGGCTGCGAGTCCTGAGGATACGAGCATGTCCGCTGTGACAGAGAGCATGTTGGCATCACGAGGTTGCCAGCACACAGCAGCACCCATCAACACACAGCAGAAGACAGCAAGATAGCAGGAATGATCAGCCGTGAAAGCAACAGCGGGCCTTATGCCTCTAAGGTGACAATGCTGTGCAGTGCAATCTCTGTGGCTCTCCGTTTCATGCACTGTCATAACTGGCACTGAAACGGTAACAGTTGCATATCTGCGTAGAATAACATAAGGGACACTGGGAAACAACAATGACTGCATACTGGTACCGTACCGTACTGCTAATCCCAACAACGTTGATCCTGACTCAGAGACTCAAGTCAAGAAGAAGGGCAAGATACACACCCAAGTCACACGATGATACGGCATGAGAAGAAGGGCCTATCGTTTGCAGAACTACCTTGGGTTTTCACGATCTCTTCAGTGACATTGCATCCGAAATGGTTCCAGCTGTTCCACCTGCCACGAATGCCACGTCACAAGGTACGTCAGACGCGGCACGTCACGGAATCAGGTAAAGCATGTTACATGCACGGCGATGCGACACGAGCGTTTGTCATAATCGGTTTCGCCAGCGGTGTTACCCGAGAGGCGGGGTTCGCGCAATGGTTCGCGACCCAACATGACGGGCTCGAAGAGCCGTGCCGGTTTCGGCGGGGATTTCGCATTTGCTTTCGCTCCCTGGGTTCAGAGTAGGCGACGCTTCAACGACGGCAATCGCGAAATATAAACACACAGCGACTAATGCCACAAGTGGTGGCGACAACGAGCATTCTTTTCTGTAAGACATAGCGCTGTGCCAGTAGCATCAGCCGTGTAATTCGTTTGGAGTCGGAGTCGAAACGATGGAAGTAGGATCGAGATTTTTTTTTGAAGGATAAACATGATGATCGTGGAACGCGACATTGCAGTGCGAGGACTGGGATGGAACGACGACTACGTCCCGCAGTGAGCCAGTCGCGATCACCACGCTTTGACAGCGACCGACCCGTCATTTCGATTCGGAAGAACAACGTAAAGAATGTGGATTCCATGTCGCAATCAGTCGCAACGAGCCTCGATGCGTCGCAAAGAGTCGGTCGCTATCAATGTGTGGTGGTAGAGCAAGCTCCGACAGAATCGAGGTCGAGCTTGCTGTGTGCGTATCGGATTCCTATGCTCAAGCATCGTTGACATTCCTGCTACTTCCAAACGGACTCTTCTACTAAGGGCGTGTTACATTTTTTTTTTTTCGTCCGGACGGCCAGCTGTCCGGACGATTGTTCGGTTACGAAACTCGTTCAATCTCGGCAGTGAGTTCGTCAGGGTCTAAACGACGTCGCTTTCTTCGTATTGCATCCTTACGACATCGCATTGGTCGCAACGCGACCGTACGACGTCGCAATCTTCGCACGCGTCCGGACTTTCAGCGAATTCAAAAACTGTAACACGCCCTAAGTTAGGTCTGATGACCACTGACCTACGACTGGTGACTGATGACTGATGACTAGGTGACAGGAGTAGTTTGACTGCCAGTTTGGCGAACCAATGCTCGTTCAGTGCGGTGCAGTGCGTTTGAACGCGTTAAGAAGCAGTTCTACTCATTGAGAAATGCTGGGGAGGCTATTTCCTCGAATTCGGGATGCAAGGTTGTCTGGAACGCTGGGGAGGCTACCCCCTGACGGGGCCAGACGCGGTTCAGTGGGGTCTAAGCTGCTATAGTAGTGATGCAGTGCGATGGCGACTCATTCCTGGTAGCTTTTGCGGAGTTTTCGAGGTGCTGGGTGTAGCAATCTCTGGTTTGTGAAATGCGCTTACTGAAGCTGTTGGAGGATGGAACAAACGCATTCATCACGAAACAGACAGCTATCGTACCGAGAAGCATTTTATCGCGTACAATCGCCAACTTGAGTTCGTGTTACGAGTGCAATTGAGTGAACGAACGAGAATTGCACTATCGAAGCAAGAGTACAATGAGCGAAGGCATGGGCGAAGAATATATAGCGAAACTACAGTGGTAACGGTAATGGACTGTGGTTGTCGCGCGACGGGCCTGGGACTGAGGTTGGGAAAAGTGTCGAGGCGGAGGCCCGGAGCGCGGGTTACCCGCCGAGCCGTGAGGTCGGGGTGCGACGTGCGAAGATGGCGGGCGGATTGTCGATGCGAGAATTGCGAGTGGTAACGGTGCTGACTGTGGTGCTACAGTGATGTACGCGTTGAGCAGGGACGCGAAGTAAGGAAAAAATGGATTTTCCTTACACTACCCCACCCCCCCCCCCTTAAGGAGATCCTCCTTACGAAAGTGCGTGTACATCCCTGAAATTCCGGCTGCGCAGATACTCGGTGAGGACGGGGTGGTTTTCGATTCTGTCCAATGGAACCCAATTGTCTTCGGTGGGTGTACGGTCCTTCCAGCGAAGTAAGAACTCGATCCTTCGGGCTCCTCGAGGGTCGCGAACTCTGTGACTCAAGATTTTCTCGGGGGTGATGATTGGTTCAGTCGGTGGTCTTGTCATGCTGGCTGGGCGATTGCGTGGCAGTTGGCTCGTGGACGGGACGTAAGGGCGAAGCAGGCTGACGTGGAACGAGGGGCTGACGTACCAGTCAGCAGGGAGGAGGAGGTGGGCGGTGACAGGTGTAAGCATGTGGCTTATGCGAAATGGCCCGCAGTATCGGGGGCGGAGTTTCGAGGTGATGGGCAGTCGGAGATTTTGGGTGTCGAGCAAAACTAAGTCGTCGGGCTGGTAAGTGACAGGTGTGCGGTGGCGGTCGGCGTTGCGTTTAGCGATGATGTTATCTTTTTTAATTGTCAAACTCATATCATATAGCTTGTCTAGGCTATAGTGGGGTAGACACTATGGGGTACAGTTTCCTAGGGTTTCCTACTTGTACCCAACCTTGTGCTAGTTCATTCATTTTTCCTCATTTCTTAACATGGTATAGAGCAGGTTCCCTAGTGGGAACGCTTCCTTGGGCCCACCACTGAAACTTTTTTTCTGACCGGAGCGCCAGTCACTCTTGCCCGAGGCGCGCCTTGTGGGCCGCCCTTCTGTCGAGCTCTCTTAGAGGCCCCTCTCACGGCCCCTCGCGCCACCCTTAGCGGCCCCGTCGCCGCTCCTAGCGGCCCCGTCGCCGCTCCCCTCCCTACGCGGCCCCGTCGCCGCCCCTACGCGGCCCCGTCGCCGCCCCTACGCGGCCCCGTCGCCGCCCCTAGCGGCCCCGTCGCCGCTCCCCTCCCTACGCGGCCCCGTCGCCGCCCCTACGCGGCCCCGTCGCCGCCCCTAGCGGCCCCGTCGCCGCCTCTCTCCCTACGCGGCCCCGTCGCCGCCCCTACGCGGCCCCGTCGCCGCCCCTAGCGGCCCCGTCGCCGCCCCTACGCGGCCCCGTCGCCGCCCCTACGCGGCCCCGTCGCCGCCCCTACGCGGCCCCGTCGCCGCCCCTAGCGGCCCCGTCGCCGCTCCCCTCCCTACGCGGCCCCGTCGCCGCTCCTACGCGGCCCCGTCGCCGCCCCTAGCGGCCCCGTCGCCGCCCCTACGCGGCCCCGTCGCCGCCCCTAGCGGCCCCGTCGCATCCTCCCTCCCTACGCGGCCCTGTCGCCGCCCCTACGCGGCCCCGTCGCCGCCCCTAGCGGCCCCGTCGCCGCCTCCCTCCCTACGCGGCCCCGTCGCCGCCCCTACGCGGCCTCGTCGCCGCCCCTATGCGGCCCCGTCGCCGCCCCTAGCGGCCCCGTCGCCGATCCCCTCCCTATGCGGCCCAGTCGCCGCCCCTACCGGCCCCGTCGCCGCCCCTACCCGGCCCCGTCGCCGCCCCTAGTGAGCAGCCGAGCCGCCGAGCCGCCCAGCAGCCGAGCCGCCGAGCCGCCCAGCAGCCGAGTCGCCCAGCAGCCGAGCCGCCCCTGGAGCAGCCGCCACTGCAGCAGCCGCCCCTGGAGCAGCCGCCACTGCAGCAGCCGCCCCTGCAGCAGCCGCCCCTGCAGCAGCCACCCCTGCAGCAGCCGCCCCTGAAGCAGCCGCCCCTACAACTGCCACCCCTGGAGCAGCCACCCCTGCAGCTGCCGCGGAGCTCTCGCCCTACAGTGGTAGCGGCCTCGCCGTTGCCGCCGTCGTACGCCTGCCCTTCTCGCCACTGGTGAGCACTGCCCTGCCCGTACTGCTGTTACTGCTGCTCTTGCTGCTACTGCTCTTTCTACTGCTACTGCTGCTCCTGGCGTGGCCAGATGCAGCTCCAGCGTCGCCCGCGTGAGTCCCTCACCCCCCAACAGCTTCGTGAGTGGTACGCTAGTTGGGGTTGTCGGGGTGGCCGTAGTGGGAGTCGTCCTGGAGTGAGTAGTTCCACAGCTGCTTGTAGTGGTCAGGTGCAGCTGCAGCGTCGCCCGCGTGAGTCCCTCACCCCCCAACAGCTTCGTGAGTGGTACGCTAGTTGGGGTTGTCGGGGTGGCCGTAGTGGGAGTCGTCCTGGAGTAAGTAGTTCGACAGCTGCTTGTAGTGGCCAGGTGCAGCTTCAGCGTCGTCCGCGCGCGGTCCTTTCGCCCCAGCAGCTTCGTGAGTGGTACGCTCAGCGTGACGGGTCACGGGGTACTGCTCGTTGTCCGTACGTCATTCGCACTGGTGCTCGGACTGGTCAGCCTTGCGGGACGCTTGGTCACGCAGAGTCCCGCTGCTTCGCCCGTCTGAGCGACGCCTGGCGTACGGAGTTTGGCGACGCGGCTGAGCTCCTCGACTGGGTGGAGCTACTTCGGCTGCGGGTAGATATCTATACTCTTGACTATGATGCTATCCTCACTGCCATGTATGCATTGCCTACTAGTGATGAGGGTGACTGTTACCTGTGTGTTCCGCCTGACCCGGGCATTGAGGCTGCTGCTCTAGGTGCTGGTGAGGCTGCTGCTCTAGGTGCTAGTGCGTCTGCTGCCCCAGGTGCTGGTGAGTCTGCTCTCTCAGGTACCACGTCGGCTCAGGCCTTACACACCTTCACTCTTGACTCGGGTGCTTCCCGCTCCTTCTTTCGAGACCGCACCACGCTTACGCCGCTCAGTCGGCCGGTTGCGGTCTCCCTGGCGGACCCCTCTGGGGGTCCTATCCTTGCTCGCTTCTCCACTGTCTTACCCTGTCCGGCAGCCCCCTCTGGCACCCTGTCAGGTCTCTACCTCCCCTCGTTCTCTACGAACTTGGTGAGTGGTGCTGATCTACAGGATCGGGGGGTTGACCAGTTTACTCCTGTGAGTCAGCGGGTGACCCACTGTACGTGTGCGCGGACGGGCCGACACTTGGCCACGTTTACCCGTCGGCCGGGGTCGAGCCTATACACACTGACTACTGAGTCTCCTCCGGTTGCTGAGTCTGGTCAGGTAGCTGCGTCGAGTCAGGTGTTTGCTGCAGCGTCCAGGTCTGGTCCTGAGTCTGCTCCCTGCTCGTGTCGTCTCCTGTCCCACCAGACTCTCCTTTGGCACCACCGCCTTGGTCACCCCTCCCTGCCTCGTCTCCGAGGCATGGCCTCCCGTGTCCTTGTCTCTGGTCTCCCCCGGTCTCTCCCTCCCCTACCTCCGGGGCCTGCCCCTACCTGCGTCCCCTGCGTCGAGGGGCGACAGCGCGCCGCCCGTCACTCCTCCGAGTTTCCTCCGACAGAGGCTCCGCTGCAGACTCTTC